TTATGTATATAAGACCTGTATTGTAGTTGATGGCACCTCAGTGCAAAATCGATGACTACTCCCCCAGAGTTCATGCACTCTTGTTCTGAAGTTAAGGACCAGACTCCTAGGGCGTTGCTGGATGTAGGCACAGCACTCCTCTCCAAGTCACTGAGGCTGCAGTCCCTCTGCTCGTTCTCTACCTCCGGCTTCCTTCTGGGGAAAGGTCCAGGGACACTGCCCTCCTCACATGTTCTTGACACCCATGATCCAATGGGCGACACTGAAGATGAGATCCTCCAGTTGAGTACGAAAGATGGACATCACATCAATAAGTACATTGTCAAGTTTAATCGATATGCTATGCAGTTGCATGGTTATGGTGAGCCTGCACTTCATTGGTTCTTTTACAACAGACTGCCAGAGCGTCTCAAGGACGATTTCTCGTGTGTCACTAAGCCTACTTCACTTTCTGCCCAGCAGAGGTGGAGGCAGAGGGAGTAGAGGAAGGACGGAAGGAAGTACTTGCCATTCAGGAGGCAGCAGCCTTGTCGAAGGTAGTGGCAAAGGAGGGTGGAGGTCTAACATGTCATCCAGCTTCAGCCTTATGCTTCCAATATCACATGTTGAACGTCTGCACGAGTTTTTGGAATCTACAAGTTATGTATATATATAGTTACATAGAGGGCAGGCCCATGAATGGCAGGGCCAAGTGGAGTGGAGCTAATGGAGTTACATGTTAGCCGACTGAATATTACTGACGAGTTGGGTTATGGGGTTAGTGGAATGGCAGGGTATAACCCAGAAACGGAAAGAAGGGATAGGCCCGAAGGTAGGCTTGCAGGGCAAGCAAGTGAATTGCCCAGTGGGGGCAGGAGTGCACTAGTGGACATTGAAGCTGTCCAGAGGCCTTCGGGGATCTGTACTTAGGGAGGCATAGGTAATATATTGGATTGAGGGGGTGGTGACCATCAAGGGAGTTGGAGGTGATTGCGGAATACAGAGGCTCCAAGGTTAGTGACGAAGGAGCAGAGGTAATCCGGAAGGATTGGAGGTAGTGGAGGACAATGGATATGACACCAAAGACTCGTGTCCAAAAAAGTGTTTTGCATTTTCCTCAATAACTTGCTTGTCAATTTAGTCTCAAATATATTCTGGAAGCTATTTGAAGGGGCTATCCAACTATGCAAAGTGTGTTGACACCGTGGGAAACAGTCTGGACACCCCTCCAGACAGTGGCCAGCACTGTGCACAGACATGAGGTGGACAGCCACACTAACCCAAAGACTCGTGTCCAAAAAAGTATTTTGTGTTTTTCTTGATGATTTATTGGTCAATTCAGTCTCAAAATATACAGTCATTCACGTGCCAATGGTGCACCTTTTGTAATTTCGACACTATAATTTGAGATCTGCCCTCCAAAAAAAAAAAAAATCCCAATAGTAGCCAGACTTATAATGTACCTACTGTCCAAAATTGGATGAAAAAGAATGAGAAATGAAGGAGAATAAATGCAGGTGAGCAAATGGGCCTTTCACAGCTTAATGGTTCAGTGTGACATAGTGTGACCTTGAATTTCCCATGCCAGATCGATCCCCGTTCACTGCTCATCGGCATCGCAGATGGGTTCCTCCACTCTTTTTCCACACTCTTTCACTGTATCCGATGGCGAAATTACCAACTGAGGATAATTTTCTGCCATCCAGTCTTTTTTTGTGACCGCTTTTGGCTTTTTTGGCACCTTCTGTTTCAGCGCTTGCAGCTGTTCCTTCTGCACTTTCCATGCTGCCTCACCGGCTTTCTGGTGTCTCTGAAATTCCTCCCAGCCCTTCTGCGCCTCCTTCTTTGCCTTCTCCACTGCGTCCTCCATTTCCCTCTTCTTGGCTCGATCACTCTGCTGCTGAATAAATCCCTCATGTGTCACCACGCGCCCAAACACACCTTTGATCCGACCACCTTCCTCCTTGTTTTTCTCTCCCTCCTCATGGGAAAGAAGCTGAGTCCGAGCCTTTGATACATACATCCCAGAAAGTGCTAACTGTGCATTTGTTGCATCTATGGCATCAACAGTGCTTGTCACATAATCCCTTGCATTTCAAAATGCAGCTCATGTCTCGCACAATTCAGCAATCAGCTCTTCATGAGTTTTCTTCTCATATTCTGTGTCCTCAGCAAGGCCCCATTGGATGTTTCGGAGGCTTCTGCCATCACCATATACCCGCTCTGGGAGTTTAAATGTTGAAGAAAGTGGTTCAGTTGAGACAATGAAATTAGACGATGATGATGATGACATGATGCATTCTAGATCATCCAACGCGCACTTCTTTGCTTGAGAATGTGCCATCGGTGACCCCAGGCAGCACGATGATTGGAGATCTGATTGCTGCCAATGTGTCACACACATCAATGGGTTGATTATTGGCTGATCGTCCCCATCATCGTTGTCATTCTCGTCACTTCCACCGTTCTGACCATCAAGGTACATCTGAGGGTTCTGGGAGTCATCAAGTGGGGAAGGTGTGTTGTCTCTATGATACTTTTGAGCCATAAGTTGACCATGGAAATACATCATCCATTTAATGGGGGATGTAACAGGTAAGGGGAGATCAGCACGAGTGGAATGTTCAATACTTGGGGCAAGCTGACGTGGATGGATTACTGTGGGATCAAATGGGTAGACCCCAGTTACATGGAAACTGGTCATAATGTGTGCTTCAGTGATTGAGTCCAACCAGGCAGAGCTGAAGACAGACAAGAAGGATGTCTTATTTAGCTTCCTCGGTGTGTTCTCCCAATTATACTTATTGCGGTGATTTGTAAAGCTTCTCTTGAGGAGAGAAAAAATCACGACATCAAGCCCTTGAAGCACATGAGTTGTATGAGAAGGGTAACAAAGTACGACGATCTTGTGGTCATGTGCATAAGAGATGAAGTCAAGACTGTAATGAGAATTGTGTCCATCAACAACCAGAAGGTGATGGTGGCCCCCTGCCTTCTCCTCGGTACATTCATTGAATGTTTGAAGCCAATCAAATCCAATCTCATGGTCTGTCCAGCCTTTGTCTGAGACTGTGACCCTGCCCAAGAGTGAGTGTAGGCTGGGGTATAAACATGAAGACTCACGCGCATTTTATTGGGTTGTTCCTTAACCATTTTGAGTTAATATTTTGTCCTTTGAAAATTCCGACAGGGGGTACATAGGAACCATCAGCACAAACAGTCACAATGACGCTGACATTCTCCCGGTTTCCATCACGTTGGATGTGTGCTTGTTTAGTCATTTTGCGAGCAATCACTTTGACCTTTTCTCCTGTGCCGAAAGGAAAGCCACTTTTGTCCATTGCATATATATTCTCAGGGAGAAAGTTAAACTCCTTGTATTGAGCCTGCAGTAGCTGAAACCAGTGTTCTACTGTAGCAGGATTAACAGCACCTCCGCGTATATTCTCAAGATTTGTGCTCCACTTCGAATTAAGTTGGTCCTTATTACGGGTCAAAAAACCATCAACCCACTTTACACCCAGTGATTGGAGGTTGGGATGTCGTATTTTTGCGATTTCTAGTGCATACCCAGCAACACCATCATGAGTTAAGGGGAAGCTACAGTCCGACATGAGAAGCAAAAATTCCACAAGAGTATCGGTTTCTGCCTGATTTAGCCATGATCAGGCCATAGCAGCTGCATTGCAACCCTGTCCTCCCTTGAGTCTCCATAGAAATGTAGTATATGGGACCCTGCATTCCAATGCATATTCTCGTGCACTAACAGCCTGCCGGCCTTCCTGCTGAGCGCACACTAATTCAGCATGATATGAAGCAAGAGTTTGCAGCATGTGCTCCTCTACTGCTTGAGATGCCTTTTGCTTTCTCATTCTCAGGGAGTCTGCATGTCGAGCCATTAAGGAAATCGCAAATGCAGAACAGGAAATGGATGTGTGAATAAGGGAAGCACGGATGTAAACCCAGGTCCGGCAACTGCTTGTTCACCAAAACAAACAAACATTGGCACATGTGCCGATGGCCTTCTGCTCCTGAGTAACACCCCAACCCCCGGGTCATACTTTATTGTCATTTCCCTACTTCTGGAATGTACAGGATGCGCAACCCTCATATTTACCATTTTCCACGCTAATAACTACTATAACTCCTTCATTACATGTCCGATCAGCTCAAATTTTTGCGTAGTTGTAGCTGTAGTCATTGCATACAAGCTTGAAAAAAAATGAAGAAATATGACTATGAAATAAGGATGCTATGGGCATATTAACCATTGAGGGGTGAAAACCATTGGCACGTGAATGACTGTATATTCTGGAAGCTATTCAAAGGGGCTATCCATCTGCGTAAAGTGCATTGAGACCGTGGGAAACAGTGCTGACACCCCTTCAGACAGTGGCCAGCATTGTGCACAGACAGTTGAGCGGCCTGAGTGTCATGGGAAATCAGATTCAATTGCGGCATTATGTTTTGAATGTCTACGCTGAATAATACAAATTTGATTGAATTATAGAATCATCCCAGGACATCCACTAGTAAATACCCCCTTTTAGGCCTATTTGAAGGCCAAACAGCCCCCCCTCTATAGGCCATCATTAGATGGCTGACTAGGCTGATGTTTCTTTGCTTGAGAGGGTGTGTTGGAAGTCAAGCTCGAATCATGTATTTACAGTTGTTTACATCAAGTTAATAGACTTAGCGGTCTACTTCCATCACCACCTCTCGACCTCGTTTTTCAACAATAGGCTCATCTGTGCAAGAGCAGATGCGGTGTGCGAGAGAAAACCCATCCATATGTGATACTAGTGAGTGAGAAAATTTTTACAGGGGACAGCAAATGTGTTTCAAATTTTTGTATTTACTGATTGCCAAATATGGCTTGAGATCAATATAAATTCGGCTCAGCCAACTCCGGGCGGTTGGGTGTCACGCATAAAAATGGGATCCCGGCTGGGGATTTTGTGTCACGCTTGGGACCATGCCGGTAGGTCATGTGAGTACAGTAATCTCGCACCACCGGAATTTTTTTCTCAGCGCAGTGCTGAGTGGACCGCCCGTGAGAGAACCGAAATGGCAGTTCGGTTCGGGTTCAGTTTCTGGCTCCGCTCTAGAACCGAACCAAACCGGGCCGGGACTTGAATTGGTTATTATAACAATATGAATTCGCTGCGTGGTGAACAAGTCCTCGTTGTTTCTTCGTTGCATAGAGAAGGAAACAACGAGGACTGAGTGCAGCGCAGCGCCTCAGTTGCACACTTTCTTCTTTCCTTCGCGTACTTCCCCTCCCCCTTCTCCTACAGCGTTTGCCCATTATGCCCCCAAATTCCACCCTAATCACTCCCTCTCCGGGCGCTGCTGCCGTTTCGGCGGGTCAGCTTTCAATCCCCTTAGTACTAGGTCCAGCTAGTCGATATCCTCAACCAGATCTAAATTTACAACAATCGCCTACATGCAGTGATGATGAACCCTCCATTTGGATGATGCCACCCGTTGATACACTTTTCGGTTCGGAGGGCTCTCCTGTCTGCAGCCCTAATCGCCGAGACTCCAAGCATCCTGAGCCTCCCCTTACTCACCATGGTTTACCTCCTGCCGCAGACCCAATAGATGTGGCTGATAATCTCCCTCAGAGACGCCAGGTTCCGGAATCATTACCCGCCTTCGTCCCAAACCCAACGCTTCAAGCCGAACCTTCCCCAAGCGCCGTTCCCGCATCCCCCCCAAATGACAGCGGCGAACTCGGTAGCCAAACACCATGGGAAAGTGAGTGGAACGTGGTGGTTTTGCGAACGGACCTGACACTCCTAGCATTGCCAGTGACGATTGCCGCCGCGGGACTGCCGCGACTCCCTCTGAACCGCTTGAACCGGCACAAATGTAATACTTATCCTCAATTCCCATTGAATAGAAGCCCCCAGACATCCGACCCTGGACAGTCCGAGGTGCGATTGTATCGATCACCTTCTGATTCTTGTCTCTCATCCCGGGGCCAAGATTCCTGACATTGTGGACAAAAATTACGAGCAAGTACTAGCACAAGGGCTTCACCATACCCTTAGCATCACACCTACCGTCCCACCTGTTTCAACTATACATCATCCACCTTGGATGCCCGAACCTCTTAAGCAGCTCCCTCAAGTCGACCTCGAGGGTCGAGTAACTCAGCGACGGCGTCTAGTGAATCAGGGGAGTTTTGCAAAAATCTATCAGGGGGACTTTGATGGGGTAAGAGAACATTTCTGTGTGCTTTGAATCTCGTAGACCTGATCAGGAGGTTACTCCCAGCGTACCGTGTGTATCAAGGTTCTGAAGGAAATAATTATTTCATCTAAAAAAGAAGTTTCCAAGTTTTCCAAGGTCCGTACAATGGCGGTCTACTGCGAATCATGATTGATGTGTACTGGCGCTGCAGAGAATGCTACGTGAGGTGAAAGTTTGGGTGACATTGAAGCATCCCAACGTGGTCGCATTCCATGGATGGACATTGGAATGCTCCGAAGATGACAATACTATATGCGCTAAGTTGATTTCAGCTTGGTGTGAGAAAGGAAACGTTTTGGAGTACCTGGAATGTACTCCAGCTGCTGACCGCCGTCAACTGGGAAGTTTACGCGTCTTCTACGTGGCCTTGCTAACAATGTCTTATCACAGGTTGTGAATATGTCTGAAGGCCTGAGTTATCTACACTCAATGGAAATAATTCACGGCGATATCAAGCCAGTATGTCTCATTGTACTTAGTTTGTCCTCTGTGATTTATCGCCGTCCACCTGGAACCCCCTACTAGGAGAACATTGTGGTTGATGCCAATGGAACAGGACTCCTCTGTGACTTCGGACTATCATGCATACTTTCTGATCTCTCAACCCATGCAGAAGGATCCAGCACTGTCAGTACTGTGCGATTCACGTCCCCCGAGATCCTCGATTGCAGCGTGAAAAAGCGCGACAAAAGAAGCGACGTCTGGGCATTTGGTTGTGCTTCTGGCCAGGTTCTAGCGTGCCAATATGCTACCATATAACTTTCTGACTGTAATGAGTTGTATCCTAGGTTCTTTCCGATATCAGGCCATATGCGAAGGCGAAAGGCCCCCTTGATGTCCAAGACGCAGTGAGGAAGCATGAACCACCTTTTGAGTGGAAGGATTCCGATGAATTCTTTGCCTATGTCGGACCATGTCTGGAATGGGAACCGGACAAACGGCCTACCATGGAGAAAGTGACTGAATGTTTCAGGTGAGATCATTTGAGCAGTGTTGTGAACAACAATTCTCACTTTCACCCTTAGTGGCTTATATCGCTGTTGAATGCTCATGTGTGCTAGCATTTCGGCAGGCAAGAGGATATCCAAGTGTACCGTCCTGTTTGTAGAGTGTCTATATGTGCTACTGGCATGGGGACAGGAATGTAGAAATTGTGTGTAGGATCTAGGTCCCTAATGTTGTTGTTGTTGTACTCTATTTTGTTGTCCTGTGGCTGTGTTTGTACAATGGCAGTGTGGCTAGCCTGACTGATTGTACATGAGGGGCTCATCAATACAAGGTAAGTGTGAGGTAGACTTCTACCCGAAGCATGTAGCTTCACTGAGAAAGTGATTCCACAGGTATGGCATGTGACAGGAGTTAGCCCATAAACCTGTGACCTGTCTGCATCATAAATCCGTGAATTTGACCAAAAGTGTGTCACAAAATCTTGGTTTGCAGGGGACTTAATTGTTAAAAAGGCAAAGAAGGTGGATGTGAGACAGTGTGGTCAACAGGACAATTCAGAGGGAGAGTAGACTTGAGGGGGCAAGGACTTCAGCCTCAGTGACTCAAGCAGAGCACTGTGCCACTTAGTCCCATTTCACTTGATGGGTTACTGAATTGTTCTAAAAGGATCCAGTTGCATATGTGAGTAGATGACTAAGCAATACATTCAGCAAGTGCCCTTGGCCTCGTTTGGATTGAATCACCTGAACTTTTGCCCAACACACTGACAGATTCTGCTCAATGGCTGCTCCACCAATTTTCTATGAGACACTGGGACAAACCAAATGTTGGAATATCAACGCTCATCGACAACAGCCGAGCTGCAGCGTGGATTGGGGAGTCTTTATTTTAACTTAATATCGTCGTGACTAACAACGACTATACCTTTTTGTTTCAGAGTCGCGGTACCACGCGCTCCCAATTTACTTTGTCTTATATCGCCAGTTGTCACTGACAATCGCTTTAAGCGATATTGGCTCCAGTCGTATAAGTTACGCTGGACGCCGTAATTTTTCTCCCTCCCTCAGTTCTCTATTTCGAGACTGAGGTGATACCATTTCTTTCCTATCTGTGTTTGCACATAACTCATTGTATTTTCATGTTATAGTTACGCGCGATAGGTAAACATCTTAATACTAGTTCTCTATTTCGAGACTGAGTTACGCGCGATAGCTCCTATTTCATTAGGTTATGAGCCCAGCCATGGCCACCTCAAACGATAGTTCTAAGAATATTTACAACATCGAGAAATTAAAGAACGATGGTCGTAACTATCGAATGTGGTCTATTCGCTGCCGCATGATTCTCGTCGACAGAGCACTCTGGGAATTTGTCGATCCCAGTTCCAAAACCTCTGACAAACCTTCCTCATCTTCCTCTTCCTCATCTTCCTCCTCATCGTCCTCTAGCTCTTCTGGCAAAGCGGCTGCTACTTCCCCTGATCCTGCTGTTGTCGAATGGGATAAGAAAAACAGCAACGCTCTTACCCAGATTGCACTCACCATTGAAGACACCCCTCTATCTATGATTGAAGGGAAAGACTCCGCTAAAGAAGCCTGGGTTGCCCTGTCCAAACGTTACAATGGAGTCGGTGCACAAGATGCAGCTAGAGTGATGACTCAACTTCATCATTACCAACTAGACGATTCCAAACCTCTTGAGCCTCAGCTGATCGAGATGCGGGGACTTCACGACCGACTGACTAGTCTTGGCGATACTTATACTGACGCCAAGTTTGCTATGATAGTGTCCGAAGCACTACCAGAGTCGTATGATACCCTTAAAACGATAATGTTGGCGGATCTCGACGACGCATCCACGATTGCCTGTGACAAACTCATCGCTCAGATTCTCCGAGAAGAGAAATGGAAATCCAAACCTAGGTCGTCTACCGCTCTAATTGCCAAATCTGGAAAGGTTGCTAGCAAAGAGTCAGATAAGTCGGATGGGAAGAAATCTAAAAAGACTAAAGATCGCCCACGTTGTACAAACACTAACTGTAAATGGAGGTTGGGACACACCTTCGAACAGTGTTGGGCAGAAGGTGGTGGATCTGAAGGCCAACGGCCGGCGAAGTCGAGTGATAAACAAGCCGTGAAGGATAAGAAGAAGGACGCCAAGATCGACCTTTTTCTGGTAGAAGAACAGGTGGCGGTTGCAGGGAGTGATCGTGCACGGATGACTGAATGGGTTATAGACTCTGGGGCGTCATCACATATCTGCGCTAATCGCAATTGGTTCTCTTCATACTCACCTTTACATCCTCCTCGTCCTGTCTACCTCGGCGACAAACGTGCCCTTTTTGCCACTGGTCAGGGCCAGATCGAAGTCATCCTCCACAATGGGACCGAAGATCGTTGCGTCATCATCACTAACGTTCTTTATTGTCCGAAAATCGGTACTAACCTTCTCTCCGTGGCACGCTTGACCTCAGTTGGGATACAAGTTCATTTCTCCGTCCACAGTTGCCGGATCCTCAATCCAAACGACGAAGTACTCGGCATTGCCAAGACTTCTGGCGGCCTTTATAGGCTACCTTGTATCATAACCGGTTTAGATTGTGCGTACATCAGTAGAGATGTCGAGGACGGGAATGTCGAAGCCGCGCTGGTTGCTCGAACAACCACAGCGACAGCGTCTCTTGATGTTTGGCATGCCCGACTCGGACACATCTCGACGCAGTCGATTCTGAAGATGGTCCGGAGTGGAATGGCCAGGGGAATGGAAGTGATCGGGGATGGGAAGGGAAGTTCTACCTACTGTGAAGAGTGTGAAGCGTCAGGCCATACACGTTCCCCCATTCCAAAGTCGACACTTACCCATTCTGACGAAGTTCTTGGACGCGTTTTTTCAGACGTATGTGAGGTACAGACCGTGACACGTGAAGGGTATCGATACTTCATCACGTTCGTTGACGACCACTCGCGATATCTCACTGTCTACCCTATCAAGAAGAAGAGCGATGCCCTCGAGAAGTTCAAGGAGTTCCTGGCTCAAGCTGAACGTCAATGCGGGAAAAAGCTGAAAATCTTACGTACCGATGGTGGTGGTGAGTACTTCTCTAACGACTTCACCCAATACCTCAAAGACATCGGCATCGTCCACGAGAAAACCAATCCCCACACCCCCCAAGAGAATGGCATAGCCGAGCGTGTTAACCGGACTCTCGTCATGATGGTGATTGCGATGCTTGAAAGCGTCAAATCCCTTGTTGGACGGACCGCTTGGCCATACGCGCTCAGGCACGCTGCACTCGTCAAAAACGTCGTTCCCCATTCCGCCCTTCCTGATGATGTTTCTCCCTTCGAGCTATGGACAGGCAACGAACCATCAGTATCCACGATACGCACCTTTGGATGCAAGGCTACTCTTGCTGTTCCTGAAGGTCAACGGGATAAACTTGCTGCCCGGTCCATTATGGGAATCCATCTAGGTCTCACCGTCGGCAAAAAGGCCTTTGTAATATACGACCCCGAGGCTCGAAAAATCCACGAGTCTCGCGACGTCCACTTCTTTGAGGGTTCACCTGATTCTGAACGTGTTATGATCGAATCTCCTGTGGTGGATTCTCTCTCGCATGTGGTTGACAGGGGGAGTATGGTTGGATCTGGTAACGGGGAGGTAGAGAGGGAAGATGATGATCACAGAAGTTGCATGGATGGTGACGAGAACGGTGGGGAAAGGGACAATGATGATGATGGACAAGTGGATGGATTGAATAGTGTGATCGGTGGAGATGTCAGGGAAGAATCCGTACCGGAGGGACCGCGACGATCGAGACGTGAACGACGCGTGCGCACGAGAGATGATGATGATCGATATTTCGTGAGTTCCTATAGCCGATCCAATCAGCCCCATTCCACAGACACCCAACCAGTGGGCGAATCCCATGCCTACGTCGCCCAATCTGATATTCCACTCACCTACAAAAGCGCCATGAACCGCCCCGACTCTGACGCCTGGCTCGAAGCTTGCCAAGACGAACTATTGTCCTTGAAGGAAACCCGGACCTATGTTCCGGTTAGTACTGACGAAGTTGATGTTCGAAATGTCGTCGGTTGTCGTTGGGTATTCGCCTTGAAGAAGGGAGCGGACGGCTCCGTTGAACGTTACAAGGCAAGGATTGTTGCTAAAGGTTTTGGTCAAATCTTTCAAGTTGACTATGATGAAACTTTCGCACCTGTGGTCAAATGGGTCTCTATCCGGATCCTACTCGCCATCGCCGCGCGACTCGATCTCGAGGTCCACCAAATGGGTGTGAAGACCGCCTTTTTGAATGGCGATCTCCAACATACTATCTACATGGATCCACCAGCGGGGAGCGCGGACTATGGGAAGGAGAATGTGGTATGGAAGTTAGAGAGGAGCCTGTACGGTTTGAAGCAGGCCTCGCGGGAATGGTACAAAAAGGCTAAGAAAGAATTCGCGAAACTCGGCTTTCTCCGGTGTGATTCGGATCATGCCGTGTTCATCCATCGTGGGAAGGGACATGTCTTCTGCATTATCGCGCTATACGTCGATGATCTGATGATCTTATCCAACGATGTCAAGGTTCTTAACGCCAAGAAGTCTCAACTCATGATGGCCTTCAAGATGAAGGATCTCGGGGACATTCATTGGTTTTTAGGACTTGAGATCACACGCGATCGATCCCGGCGCCTAATCTCAATATCCCAGACCCGCTACGTAAAAGACATTCTCTCACGTTTTGGTTTTGCTGACTCTCGTCCGATTTCCACTCCCATCGCATCCAACTTCAAACTACCCCGTCTCGATGCCCCTGAAGTCAATGTACGCGATTATCAATCCCGAATCGGTAGCATCATGTACGCGATGCTCGGTACACGTCCTGATATTGCGTATTCAGTGGGCGCGCTGAGCCAATACTCCGCCAATCCTGGGAAGGAACATCTCGCCGCCGTTAATCGTGTATTCAGATACTTGAATTATTCACGGAACTACAAGCTAGTCTATAACGGTAAAGTTCCCGATGATGATTTTACAGGCTATTCCGACTCCGATTGGGCGGGTGACTCGCGCGATCATCGATCCATTTCCGGCTTTGTGTTCAAGATTGCCGGCGCTGCCGTCTCTTGGAGTTCAAAGAAACAATTGTCAACGGCTCTTTCCAGCACAGAAGGTGAATACATGGCATTGACTCACGCGTCTAAGGAAGCCATTTGGATTCAGCAATTTCTTGGCGACATCCTCAAACCCCCTTCTATTCCTCACACCATCCTCGGCGACAATCAGGGTGCTCTTGCCCTTGCCGCTAATCCCACCTTCCATGCACGGACTAAACACATTCACATCAGACAACATTTCATTCGAGAATGCGTCGACAATGGAGATGTAGAGCTCGATTACGTCCCGACGGCCGATCAGGTGGCCGACGTTCTTACTAAAGGACTTGCGCTGGCTA